AGATAAGGTCTGTGGTCATAAATACTCTTTTGAAAGATTGTTTGCCAGGCCTTTGCTGAATATGAATGAGAGGAATTCACATTTGTTTAATAAAAGGGGTTTTATCAGGAACAGGACTTTAATTTATGCTTTTTGGGAAAGCCTCAGTCAGAACAATTTTGGGAAACAACCAGAATCTGATTTTGAACCCAAAAAATAAACTCATTTTATTCCCAAACCACACCAGTATTTAGTTTATGAGAGCCTCACTTACCCGTGTACTGCCCGTATGATGGTTTTTTCTAAGGAATCATTTGTATATTTGCTATCTAAGTCAAAGACATATTTTGCCTCCCACTGGAGAGTAACTTGGACAGTTTTGTCGCAAGATGTCACTTGCCGACTGGTGGCGAACTCCTCCTTCAGCCGGTTGGCCAGGATGGTAGAGCGAGCGGGCGATAAATGGTTCGTAACTGGCTTGTCCGGTCGGCACCAATTCTGCTGGTGCTGGAAAGGAAGCACTTTTCCAACCAATGGACCCGGTTTATCCTGCTTCACCCCATTCGAGTTGGGAGAACGCGGCGTTGCTTTTGGGGGCGTCTCGGAGATGGGAGAGGCGTATGAGTGCTCTAAGGAAATGATGGCGCTCGAGTCTGACAGATCCCCGGTCTCGTTTGGAAGGGCCAGAGAAGTTTTGGCGAGGTTGATCCTCGCCTTTTTCTTTTTGACGGGATTCATGCCGCTTCGGTCCTTAGCGTTCAAAGGCCCGTCCTTATCCTTGGCGGGCCAAAGGGGCGATCGGGGCGGCTGTCCTGGCAGGAAAGCGCTTTTCCGTTTCATGGTAGCCCTGTGATATTCGTGATCTGACGATTTGTGCAAAAATTTCCCACGGGGCAGGCGATGTTCCCAGGATGGACGGAAACGGACGAAGTCTCTTCGATTGTTCCCGTCCAAGGGAGAGTTACAGGAGCTCAGTGCTAAATCGGCCAACAGGTTCAACGCGTGGGAATCACACTCTTCCCCTCTGGAGGGCATCCGATGGGCGTCCAGAGTAACCATGTCCTTTTCTGTAGAGGCAGCCTCAGTCCTTTGCTTTTCCGAAGAAACGTCGTGGATGTTTTTCCTTGGAGCTGTGCAAGGAGAGACAAAAATATTAGGGACGGAGCGAACATGTTTGGTTTTAATCTGATCATGAACACCCAAGATAACGCTAGGTGGATTTGTTCAGCTGGATCGAGTCCATGTAGATAAATCTAAGGAGCTGGGAAAGCAAAAACAAGAGGGCAGGCATGAATAGAATTATTAGAATTAGAATTGTATTAGAATTAGAATTATTAGAATCAGAATCAGAATTGAATTATAATCATTAGTTAGAATTGAATTATAATCATTATAATTAGAATTGTATTAGAATCAGAATTAAATTATAATCATTATAATTAGAATTGTATTAGTAGAATTGTATTAGAATCATTAGAATTAGAATTTTATTAGAATCATTAGAATTAGAATTGTATTAGAATTAGAATTATTAGAATCAGAATCAGAATTGAATTATAATCATTAGTTAGAATTGAATTATAATCATTATAATTAGAATTGTATTAGAATCAGAATTAAATTATAATCATTATAATTAGAATTGTATTATTAGAATTGTATTAGAATCATTAGAATTAGAATTTTATTAGAATCATTAGAATTAGAATTGTATTAGAATTAGAATTAAATTAGAATTAAAATTTTACTAGAATTGAATTAGAATCATAATAGAATTAGAATTATTAGAATCAGAATTAGAATTGAATTAGAATTATTAGAGTTAGAATTGTATTAGAATCATAATTAGAATTGTATTAGAATTAGAATCATTAGAATTAGAATTGTATTAGAATTAGAATTAAATTAGAATTAAAATTTTACTAGAATTGAATTAGAATCATAATAGAATTAGAATTATTAGAATCAGAATTAGAATTGAATTA